CCCCACGCAAAGCTGACGCATCCTAGGCCCACCGTCCTGCCTCCCGGCTCAGGCCCCCCTCATCCTCTGAAGCCTGCCCATCCCCAGCTCGGGTCCCTCCCACCTTGCCCACCCTCCTTCCCCCCAACTTGCCTCTGGGGAGACCCTGCTCGGGTGAGCAGCCCAGTTCCCACTCCCTCAGCGTCCCAGTCGCCTCCCAGCCAGCACCCCTGAGGTTTGGAGGACAGCCGTGCCGCTTCACCCACTGGCCCTGACTGTTGGCTGAGACCAAGTCCCCCCACTGTCCCCCTTTCCCCCAACCCCCGGGCAGCCACAAGGATCCAGCTGCCATGGGGACCTGGGGTGGGAGTGGTGCGGGTCGAAGCCCGGCTTGGTGCTGGGCAGGCAGCATGGTGCAAAGGCTCCTTGGCATGCTGCAGTGGGCTGGCGATGGTCACATCTCAGGCCCTGTCCTCCAAAGGAAAGGGGGCCGCCCCCTCTGGCTGCCAGTGGAAAATCCCCAGGCAGGCTCTGATTGGCTGGTTTTGGTCAGGTGCTACCTCTGGACCAATCACATCTCAGGTCCTCTGAAGAGCAAGGAACCGCCTCCCCCCGCTGGCCGTCAGTGGAAAATCCCCAGGCAGGCTCTGATTGGCTGGCTGGGGTCAGGTGTTCATCTCGGAGCCAATCATGTATCAGCCCTGCCCTCTAAGGGTGGGTCTAGGGTGTCCCTGCTTGGCAATCCCCAGCAGAGCCCCAGGCATGTGGGTGAAGCGTGTCAGGTAAGCAGACCCTGGGCCCCGCAGCCACCCGTGGCCTGTCCTCACCCACTGCCGTGGCTGGCCTGTCTCCCTCACCATGAACTTTCTAGTTCATCCCAGGAGCTGGCTTGGGTCTAGAGTCAGAGTCCTGCCCCGGAATGTTCCGGATGTGCCCATGACCTCAGGAAGTCCAAGTCCCTCTCTGGGGCTGGATTTCTCCCCACAAGGCGGAGTGGGGGAGGGAACGCGAAGCCTGAGCTCCGGGTGGACCTCCCCCACCCCGGCATGCAGCCCTGCCTCCTTCCAGAAGCTTCCACAGAGGCCTTGACCGGCCTCGAGTAGGGAGGAGCCCATGCCGTGCATCCTGTGATTCGCTGGCAGCCAGTGCGGGAGCCGAGGAGATGGTGCTGGGGTCCTCGGGCTGGACACAGCGTGGGGTGGGGGGCGCTGGGCAACCATATGGGCCCTCGGCTCTTGCGAGTGCAGACAGGCTCCCACCTGGGCTGGTTCCCGCCACCTCTTGGCCCTCGAGCTCTGGGGGCAGTGGCAGCTGAGCCCCATGGATCGCATCGGGCCTGGGGAGGGCGTGGGGTCTCGGGGTGGCGAGCTGTCTCTGGCTGGGAAAGCCGGTGTGGCGTCCAGGTCTGCGGGGATGAGCAGGCTGGCGTCCCTGGCCATGGTCTCTCCCTGGTGACCGGGGGGGCTTCCCCACCATCAGGACAGGGAGGGAACGTGCTGTGGGGCGTGTGTGTCTACGTCCTACACCTGAAGGTCCTGACCCTCGCCCAGGCCTGTTGTGGGCCAGTCCTGAGGTCTTGGGCCTGTGTGTACCCCTGTGGCTCTTGTTCCCAGGACTGGCACGGCAAGCCTGGCTGAGGGCTAGGCTGCTGGCAGGGACATCGAGGGAGCCACCCGGGGGCCTCTGCGGGTCTGGGGTCTTGTCAGACTCAGGAGAGGGGCTGCCAGAGAGATGGCGGCAGCCAAGCCCCTTGCGACTCTGCTGACCTCGGGCTCACTCCTGGCCACCAGCCAGCATTTCCCAAGGCAGGTTCCCAGAGTCTCAGCTCCTTCTCAAGGCTCTGAGAAGGTCCCAGAACCTTCCTCCTGTGCCTGGCAGTCACCAAGGCCCCCAGGGCACCTCACAGCGCAGACAGGCCTGGTCTGTCTTACCCCAGCTCTGAGGGCACAGGCCCCATTGGCCATCCTGCCTTGCAAGCGGTTCTGTCCTCCACCTCCAGGACGGGCCTCAAGCCAGGTGCTGGGGCCACCCACATCCCTGGGGTCCTGTGGGAGATGCAGGTTCCCAAGCCCTGGGCCCACTCGTACATGCTGCAGCTAGGGTTATCCGCATGTGGCAGGATGACCTGTTTCACGCCTGAGGGGAGGGGCTGTGGCGGTGGCATTGCCTCAGCCTCAGGGACACTGGGTCCAGCCCAGCCCCATCATGTACCGCTCGATGCCTGCCCTCCGTACCACAGCCCTTGGGGAAGCAGGGAATCTGAAGCCTAGAGTGATGTTAGGAGGCCGAGCCGAGAGGGCCAAGGCTGTTCCCGGCTGCAGGGAGCCCTGGCCCCAGCCCTCAAACGTCGCCTGTGCTGGGCGGTTTACCCTGGCCGTGGCACCCCTGCCCGCCTGATGCCCCCTCCGTTTCAGGGCGCCATGCTGCACTACCCCTGGTGGAACACCTTCTCACCGCCAGCGTACCCAGCCTTCCCCAACGAGAGCCGGTAAGTTGCGTTCCCGTCCTCCCCGGCGGTCGCCTCATCCTGAGGCCGCCGTGAAAGGTGCGGTTGAGGCTGGCGGGGCCAAGCCCCGCTGAGCACACGGTCCTGCTGGTCCTGCCTGCGGACTAGCCCTGGATGCGGGGCGGCAGCTGAGACCGGTTATCCTGAGCTCTGTGCTGTGACCCCTGGGATCCATTTTGGCGAGAACCCAGCTGGGGAGGGGACGGGGTTGTGGGGTGCGTTGCTGTGGAGAAGACACTGGGGGGTGTGAGAAACCTCTCGGGGGTGAGGGGATCTGGAGGGCGCTTTTCCCACAGAGGACAGCAGCTAGGCTGGGCTCTGCAGGGTCAGTCGTTTGCCAGGGGCCCGAGAGAGCAGCCTGCGCGAAGGGCCTGGACACATGTTGCCAGAGCTCACGTGGGCCTGGGAGGTGCTGGAGCAGGTGCTGGCCCTGGGGCAGGGGGTGGGGATGTCAGGGCCGGAGCATGGGGCGTATCCAAAAATCTTGGCAAGCGGGGCCGAGGCTTCTCCTGGTGGACCTCTCAAGCCCAGGGCTCCCTGCCCTCAGGTCTGCACACGCTGCCTCCCCCTGGGCCCTCTGGCTCCTGCTCGGCAGATGCCCTGGCTCAGCCCTGCTGGGAGCTTCTGGAGGCAGAGGCCAGGGGGCCCGTGGGCGGGCGGGGGCCTGGCAGGTGGTCAGGGACCCCGGGATGCGTGAGCCATGGATTGGCCACGGCACACGATGGCTCCTTCCACGGTCTGCTCAGCACCCAACGTCCCTTCCACAGTCTGCTCAGCCCCAGCCCGGCCCCTGGGACGGCCTTCCCAGCCGCAGGGCCCGCTCCTGGGTCTGAAGAGTTGCCTGCGGCAGCACGGCCCCCTCACCCTCCTCACTGGTCCTCAGCCGTCCTCAGGCTGATGGGACTGCGGGGACCTGGACGAATCCCCTCTGCGTGTCACCTGCCCCTTGGTGGCCATGAGTTGGGTGTGGAGGCCAGGAGGAGGCCGGGCGGGTCAGAGCCGGGTTCCCAGGCGTGGCTGGGGCTGCGGGGCCCTCCTGCGTTACCTGGGCTCTTCCCATGGGGGTGAAGCCCAGCCCCTGCTGCTGACGCAAGGGGGGGATGGGGCTCTGTCTGCCGCCGGCTCTCCGGGGGGCCTGGTCCTCCCAGGGGCCGGGCCATGTCCAGCAGGTGGGCGGGCAGCCCTGGGCGTGGCCGTGGGACCCCTGGAAACCCCTCCCTGTGTGGGGCCGCGTGTGAGGGGCCTGCCATGCTTGAGCACAGCCCCTGGCACCCTCAGGAGCTGGGGGGGGCCTGGGTGCGTATTGCTTTGTTGCCGTGGGCGGCGGGCAGGAGCCTGCGGCCGAGCCTTCGCCCACGGTCACCTGGCCCCTTTCCCCTCCAGCCAGTTCATAGGCCCCGCCTCCTTCCTCGATGGCCAGCCCTGTCCAGACACCAGCTATGGCCCTGGGGCCGCCGCCTCTAGCTTCTTGCCAAAGAGCTTCGACCTTCCTCAGGTAGGACCCACGGTGCACACCATCTTGGGGCTGGGTGGGTCTGAGCCGTTCTGGGGCCATGCGTTGGCTGGACCACTGTGGGAGCAGCCTGGCCCTCAGGAGCAGTGCGCACCAGGCCGTGTGGACCTCTGCCCCAGGGCTCTGCGGGGTGGGTCGGAGGGTCAGGGCAGCGTCCACGGCACAGGAGCAGGCGGGGGTCTCGTGGGGACACTCAGAGGGCGGGAGCACGAGGCATGGCCAGCGTCATACCAGACCCATGACCTCCGGCTGCGGCGCTTCCCCTGTGATCCTCTGTGCCCGACACCACCTGGGGGTGATAGCTTGGATGGCGAGCACGTGGGTTTGTTCTCCTGTGGGTGCTGGGGGGCGCTCGGCTTCCCCCTTGGAACAAGGACCCGCTGCCAACCCATGCCTCACCCAAGGCGTCTGGGTCTCCGCCCGGGGAGCCCAGCGTCACTCGAAGGGGGCTTGCTATAAGGAGCCAGGGTTGCCTCAGAGAGTTGGGGTGCCTGCTGCTGTGTCCCAGGGTGCCTCGCCCCATGGTTTGGGGCCCTCAGAGCCACTGTTGTGGGGTGAACGACACCCGGGGCTGGCCTGGGAGCAAGGGGCTCTCGGCACTCAGGTTGCCCCACGTAAAGTGGGGCACATGGCATTAGCCCAGTCTTCAAAGCTGGTGGGGTCCGGAGAGAACTGGTCCAGACTGTCTACAGCTGAATGGGACCCGTTCAGACCCCGGCCGTGCACCGCGGGTCACCAGGGGGACCCCAGGGCCCCTCTCCCCACAGGGACCAAGCAGAATGGCAGCGTGCGAGGGCCTCGGGTCTGTTCCGGGTGACCTGTGTCCGTCCCGTCCAGCACCCCGGAAGGGTCTTTGTAAATGCAACCAGTGAAGGGTCAGGATGAACCGAGGTCACCCTAGAAATCCAACAGTTGTCCTCAAGGACATGGGCATTCAGGGAGGCCACACGTAATGGTGGGGCCAGAGGCTGGGCGGTGTGACCACGGGCCGCGGGTGCTGGATGCCCTGAGCCAGCAGAGGCGGGAGGCCCTGAGACTGCGGGCCCCGCCTCAGCCCGGAGAGCCGTGATAGGGTGGCTTCCTGGTGTCTCGAGCCCCAAGAGCGAGGACACCAGTGCGCTGCCCACCTCCCCCGGGAAGCCTGCCGGGGGACTCCACACGCCTCCTGCCCGGGGGCTGCTCAGGAGAGGTCTGGGCCCGAGTCCCTGCAGGGGCCCCACGGATGCTGTCCCGGCCGTGGTCCTTCTGCCACAGCAGCACAGGAGGCACGTGGCTCCCCGTGGCCTCGCGGCTGCCATTGGCCTGTCCATCCGTCCTCTCCGAGGAAAGGAGGCCGAGGGCATGGCCTCTGTGCAGTGCCCACACCTGCCCAAGCTCCGTGACGGCCCCCGCCGTGCTCCCCCAGACCAGCAGAGACCAGCAGTTCGGTGTCACCTTGTGGGCTGGTGTGCCCCAGAAGACCCGCTGCGGCAGCCTCCGTGGGCTCCGTGGGGGTCGGGCAGGCCCCAGCCTACCTGCCTGCCCCTCCCGTGGGCCGTGCGCTTCTTCGGGCGGCGTCTGCCAGTGGCAGTCGCCCAGGAGGGGCCGTGGCTGGGTCCTGGCCTGTCTGTCCTCCCGGGCCTGGCTTGCGGGCCCCTGGAACCTCATTTGGGGAGGACTCTGGCCCGTCTTGGGGTGTGGCGGCCCGGGGGATGGCAGCGGGTACTCACGGGGCCCTGGGAACGGCGCCTCCCCCGGGAACTCAGGAGTGTGTGTCCAGGACTGGCGTCTGCCTGTGCCCTTCAAGGGATGGACAGAGCAGAGGCCTCAGGGTGTCTCCTCCCTCCCCCCTCACTGTCCCCAGAGGGGGCTGACATCCCAGCCCTTCCTCGTGGCTGCCCCCCCACAAGCCCATCTGGCATGTCCTGCTCATGCCCCGTCCCTGTCTTCTTCCCATCTCGCCTCTGTCTCTGTCTCCCCCCTCTGCTTCTGTCTCTCTCCCCATCTCTCTTTGTCTCTCTCTCTGAATCTCCATCTCTTTCTCTGTCTCTCTCCCCCATCTCCTTCTATCTCTGTCTCTATCTTTTTCTCTCTCTCTCCCCCCTTGTCTCTCTGTTTCTCCATCTCTGTGTCTGTCTCTCTCCATCTCTCTCTCCTCTCTGTCTTTTTTCTGTCTCTCCAACTCTCTCTGTCTCTCCATCTGTCTCTCTCCATCTCTGTCTCTCTCTCTCTCCGTCTCCATCTGTCTCTCTGTCTCCCGTTTGTCTCTGTCCATCTCTCTCTGTGTCTTTTTCTAGGTCCCTCTCCACCTCTGTTTCTCTCCATCTGTCGCCGTCTCCATCTCTGTCTCTGTCTTTCTGTCTCTGTCTCTGTCTCTCCATCTCTGCCTCTCTCTGTGTCTGTCTCCTTCTCTGCTTCTTTGTCTCTTCATCTTTCTCTTCATCGCTCTGTCTCTGTCTTTCTGTCTCTGTCTCCATCTCTAACTCCATCCCTCTCTGTCTCTCCATCTGTCTCTGTCTCTCTCTCTCTGCCTCTCCCTCTCGCTCCAACTCTCTTTGTGTCTCTCCATCTGTCTCTGTCTCCCTGTCTCTCTCTGCTCACCTTCCTCCCTCCCGGCCCTGCCGATCACTGATGCTGCTTCTCAGCCAACAGTCCCTCCGGGGCCGCCTCAGTCTCCCTGGTGTCTGAGCCTCGCCTGGCACTGCACGTTCGGTGACACGCACGCGGCCAGTCACCACCCCTCCCTAGAGGACAGCCGTAGCCGTCCCACAGACGTTTACTTACTGAGTGCCTGCTGAATGCAAGCTTGATGCGCCACCCCCAGGCCCCTGCGCCTCCGTGCCCCCCCAGCCGCCTGAGTTGTCAGGTTGACCCCAGCGCTCTCTCCAGATGAAACCTGACCCCAGTGCCGAGTGTGGGGTGCGGGGTGGGACGGATGTGAGTCAGCCACCCCCTCCCCGTGACCCCCAGGCCTGCTCTGTGGGGCCAGGAGGGAGTCCAGCCCTGAGCCTGGCGTTCCAGGCCTTCCATATGGAGCCCAGCCAGCTGCACCCGCCATGGACACTCTGTACCCTGATTCAGACCAGGTCAGCATGGTGGGCCACCACCGCCTCGCCCTAATACCATCCTATTCTGGCCGGGCGTGGCGGCTCAGCCTGTCGTCCCAGCACTGTGGGAGGCTGAGGCAAGAGGATGGCCTGAGCCTGTGGGTCCGAGACCAGCCTGGGAGACTTGGTGAGACCTCATCTCTACCAGAAAGTCAAAAAACTAGCCGGGCACAGTGGCATGCGCCTATCGTTCTGGCTCCTTGGAAGGCTGAAGTGGAAGGATCGGCGGCACCCAGCAGTCGACCCTGGGGTGGCCTGGGTGACGGAGTGAGACTGTGACTCAAAAAAAGAACATCCCCTTCTAACCCTGGGACCTCACATGGCAGAAGGGACCCTGCAGGCGGGATTAGGCAAAGGGCCCCGAGGTGAGAGCTCCCCTGCACAGGTCCTTGGTGGCTGTGTGGACGTGTGGCTCCCGAGCCCGGGGTTGGTCCTGACTCTGCTTCCCTGCCGGAGGCCTCTTGCTCCTGCTCTTGTCACCAGGCCGGGTGGCCAGACTCCACATCCCCACGGGTCCTCGAGAGGCGGCAGGGGGCTCGAGTGAGGGGAGGTGGGCGGAGAGGGTGCTGCTGGCTCTGAGAACGGAGGACGAGCCCGAGGCCTGTCCATCCTCCGTCCTCACTGAGGGGGGCAAGGGGTCTCCCTGAGTCCCCAGGAGGGTCCGGCCCTGCCACAGCTTGGCTTTGGGCTTCTCGTCGCCACAGCTGAGAGGAGGAACGTGTTGCCGGAGGTCTTGAGGTTTGTGGGACTGGTTTGTTGGAGCTGGGGAAATGGCGCGCACTGAAACCCTTTCGTGACCCTGGGTGGCGTGCAGTCCCTGGAAACGTTTCCCGCCGTGTCGAAGGCCCAGTGCAGTGGCTCACACCTGCGATCTCCGCACTGGGGGAGGCCACGGTGGGAGGTTCGCTTGCGCCAGGAGTTCACGAGCCACATAGCAAGACCCCAACTTCCAAAAAAGTAGAAAATTCGCTGGTGTGGTGGCACTTGTAATCCCAGCTGCTCAGGAGGCTGAGGCAGGAGAATCGCCGGATCCCGGAGAGGTCGCAGCGAGCTGTGGTCATGCCACTGGATCTAGCCTGGGCCACAGAGTGAGATGCCAGATCAAATAATAAATAAGTAAACCCAGAAGGAATTGGGATGGAGAACCAGGCGCTGGGCCAGGGGTGAGCAGCGAATTTAGACCCACAGGCCTCAGAACCCTTGAGCCCTGAGATTCCTGACAGCCAAAGCAAAAAGGAAAAGATGATGAGTCATGTGACTCTTGCTGCTGTAAAGAGAAGCTGAGCCATTTTGTTGCCGGGCCTTTCCGGCTTCTCTTTGGTCCATGGAGCACTTCCCTGGGGTCAGCTTCCTCCATGGTATCACGGTATCCCGCGTGGCCGTGTGCGTGTGTGGCTCCCAAGCCTGACTTGCCACCTCACACGAGGCCTTTTCTCCTGCTCTTGTCACCGAGCCGTTAGCCCCTCAGGGACCTGAGTCCCTCCCCTTGGGCCGGCATGAGAGCCCACCATCGTCCACTGCCTCCCGGAGGGTGGAGCTGTCAGGGGTGCTGAGTCATGGCTACCTCGGTCACAGATGCCCTTGGTCTCCCCTCCGGGGGCCCTGTCTCGGGACATGGGAGGTCACGTGCGAATTGGGTTTGGGCAGCCCCCCCCTCTAGGCCCTCCACGGAGCCCCTCTGCCCGCCGGTCCGACCAGACACCCACTGCCTTGCAGCCTGAGCTTGGGCCACACACAGCGGACGTGAGGCAGGAGGGGCTCATGGGAACCAGGACCTCAGCCTCCCAAGGCACGGGATGACAGGCTGAGCCACCGAGCCTGGCTAGAACAAGCTGTTTTAAAATACTTTGACTTGCCGGGCTCGGTGGCTCAACCTGTCATCCCGCGCCTTTGGGA